TCACCCGCAAGGACTCGTCGATCCGACAATGACGAGACAACCAAGTCCTTACGGAACGGTTGCGTCTGATACTCAGCCTCTGGGCCGACGCCTATGTCTACGGAACGATGGCTATGAGGTAGCGCAATGCGCCTCAGTGCATCAACGAAGCTTCCAACTCCCATAGCGATTGGTCGCTATCGATTACACATCTACATATTCACTCGATGCCTCTGGGCTTGCGCCTATGCAACTCTACTTTCATTGACAAAGCCTTCAAACCATTTGGGACGGTCGCTATCACTTCCTTGATTGTATATCAACTTCACGCCTCTGGGATTGGACCCATGCGCTCTATGAACTCAATACATTACAGTACCTTCCATGAACATGCATGTGTCTTGTACCATCGCATCCCATGTTGAGGAGGGGAAGAACCAGCCAGCGCACTTGATGCAGCTCAAGCTGATGGCCCCAACACACGATACTCGACACCATATCCATGACATACAATCACATCATTGGTGTCTGCTATATGACATAGATAACTGACCTTCTTGACGCTCATACCAAGGGTACATAAATTCAATTTATGTACCCTTGCTTATACTCACGACGCTCATGCCGCCGAGCTCAAAACGAGCCCTACCGCACCAGAAGCCGTCGTCAACCCAAGCGTATCAGCACCGACTCGACTCGCACAAGACGTCCAGCACCAATGAACACGAAGCCATGCGCCGACCTACGGCTCTGACGAACGACTCAACGATCCCGACCCGAGATCAAGATCAAGTCGCATCGATCCAACAGCTGACGTCCAAGGTCGCGCCTGCCATTCAAGGTCGCGCCTGCCATCCAAGGTCGCGCGTGGAGCGAGCCCACCAAGATTGACGGTCGCGCTCACCGCACAGGACGTCGGCTCAACCTCCGACTGCTTTCGTGACCCGCACCTCCAAGTCACCAAGTGCCTCCAAGTGCTCGTGCGCCGCAGGAACACGTCCAGCGTCTTCGATCTCCGCGGCCGACCACGTCCACGACAAGCAAGCCCGAACGCTTCGCTCGCACAACTCGCGCAGTCCGCCAAGATGTCGCACCGCGATCGACCGACGCGATTTTCCAAGTCCACACTAGGAACCAGGGGAAGTAACGGCAGGACCAGCATCATCGCATGGAACCACATCTTTGGCTCGCCACGACTCTTGGTCTTGATTGGTTGTGCGGCGAATGCATCACTAGTGATAGGTGTCTCAAAAGAGCGTTGCCATTCTCTCACGTCAACGCACGCAACTTGGTGCTTCGACCGTTTCTTCGGGTGCAAATATAGTGCTAAAAGTTCATCGCCAACACAACACATCAAGCCGACATCGTGCCCCGCCAAGGACGCGCTTGCAGCTACCGACCCGCCACCTGGGCGTAGAGGAAGACTTCTACGAGGCGCCTGCTGCCGTAGCCGCCGCAGCCGAGCTCCGGCTACCCGACGCTATCTTACCCAAGTACGCCGACTTCGTCTACCAAGTGATGCTCCGCGCGGTCAAGTTCCGCGCACATTTGCACTGGCTCGACAGGGCCGACCAAGCGTGCCTCTTCTCGCCCGCGCACGAGA